CTAATGCATCATGATCCAACACTCCCTTATCTCACTGCCATTTGATCACCATCTCTTCCACCGAAACCCCTCCTTTTTTGTTTGTTTTTGTTTTGCTCCTCTTTTTTCTTTTTAAACCTTTAAAGGCTCTAGGGAGAAAAAGGAGCAATGCAATGCTTATTCTTCACTGAGATTTGGCATTATAAATAGAGGTAGTGGAGACCTTTCAGGAGGGCTGCAAAGAATTTTTTAATGCAGTTGTGCTTAAATAAGTCAGTCCATTATACAGTATTTCTTAATCATAAGTAACAAGCCATGCACTGCAGATTCTTTCAGTAATCCTAATGCTGTTACTATGAACATTTCCAGGCTATGGCCAATGATGTGGTGTAATGGGAACTAAACTCAAAACAACTTTTGGTATGCCAGAAGTTATCCATTACTGACATAGAAGTTCATTTCTTTTTAAAAAAACAAAACACTCTCTTGGTGTAGACCTTCATTTAGATACCTATTACAAAAAGTTCATAACCTTTTCCCTCTTAACAAATCCATGATTTTAGAATGGAAAATCATCTAAACTTCATAAATGAGTTTATCAAGAATGGGTGAGCAAGTAAGATTTGTGGGGATGGGTCCAGAGGGCTAGACCAGGAGGACATGTACATCTAGCAAAGGCATAGAAACCAAAAAGGGCTCATGTCTGGAGATGGCTTACAATATTTCAAACAAACCATAGCAAAGATTAACCCCAGTTCCACCATTCAGGGTTAAGGTGATGTGACATGCCATAGGTAAACCACCCCAAAAAGGAAGAGATGATTGAAAGGACCTCCATCCATATTCCATTAACAGAGTATCTGGATGAATCAGTGAAAAAAATGTGAAAGATTTCCATGTTATGAACAAAACCTCTTGATACTTAAAATCAGTTAGACAATTCTGTAGAGAAGGTTCTTATCAAATAGGTTCACTTTGTTAACATTCCATTAGATAAGGAAACAGGACTATTTTTTCACCTCGGTTCGGGCAGGGTTGTTTGTATCTCTTCCTCTAAAGAACTGTTGATTATGAGAGCTAGAAAGAGGTTTTCATCAGAGAATATTGGGGCTTTACGTGTAAGAGCAGTCTCCTTAAGGGTGTGTGCTAGAGATAGGGGTATTCGTATACGAATACGAATATCCCTGCACAGCTGAAGTTAACAAGGGTCCACCCCCTGGGGCCAGACCGTCCCCTCACACATCTGGTGGTGGTGGCGGCAGCCTCCTCAATGATCCTTCCAACCACTCCCAGAGTCCTGCTCTCTTCCTGCTCAGCTAGTCAGTTCAGGCAAGGGGAAGGAGGATGAGTCTCCCTGCACATCTGCTGAGTCACTAGCCAAGCAGGAAGAGAGCAGGGCTCTGGGATTTATTGGAAGGATGCGCGAGGCCACCACTGGCGGACATGTGAGTGGATAGTCCAGCCTCAGGAGGCAGACACTTCTTAACTCCAAATGCGCTGGGGTATTCTTATTCATATACGAATATGTGTGCTAAGAGATCTTTTGAGACATGGGATCTGAATGAGCTCTATCTTGAAGATCACAGCAAACTTGTGGTTTGATTTTACCTATTAACACATTTTCCCTCTTGCATGTGTAGTGACTAAGATCTCTTCCAGCTATCTTGTAGCCAGAAAATGTTGAAGTGATGGTGCTGTCAAGTCCTCAACCAATATGCCAAGTGGAACTTATTTATCTGGGGTATGTGTGTGAGAGATAGAACTTCTCTATTTGACGTGTCCCATCTTGCCAAAAACTCAAGACCAAATATGTCTTGAGAACTTCAACAAAAAAGAGGAAAGTTTGAAACTCAACAAAACTTGGGTTCCAGCTCTGAAAAATACAGCATGCAAAAGGTCAATGAACTCTACCAAACCACAAGGACCGGGGATCACTACACACAAAAGACCAGCTAATAACACCCATCAATCACAGTGACAGATAATCTCTCCTCCTTATCACAGCAATACACCCACAACAAGACACACCAATCACCCATCTCCTGAAAAGGACAAAAGCCTATCTCACAGCCAAAAATACATCAGAGTAGCGTGCTGTCCTCTGACGATGCCAGCCACAGAGACTGGCGAAACGTCAGGAAGAACAACCTTCAGAACATGGCCAAAGAGCCACAACAACCATCAAATATGTTTTCCTTTGCTTTTATTTTATTTCATTTGGAGTATGTAAAGCACCCTGAAGTAGCTGAAGCACAAAAATATGTAAGATTGTTAAGGTGGTTAATGCATTATCATCGCCCCAGAGGGAGACCACAGCTGCAATACAAATATATCTGCAAGCAGGATCTGAAGGCCTTAGGAATGGACCTCAACAAATGGGAACCCCTGACATCTGAGCGTTCAGCCTGGAGGCAGGTGGTGCATCACGGCCTCTGCCAACTTGAAGAGACCCTTGTCCAGCAGGCAGAGGCAAAGAGGCAGTCATGAAAGCAGCAAAATCAGGGTGCTGGACAGGGGACAGATTGGGTTTGTCTTCAGTGTGGAAGGGATTGTCACTCTTTAATTGGCCTTCTCAGCCACACTAGATGCTGTTCCAAGTCCTCTATTCAGTGCATGTTACCATAGTCTCTTGAGACTGAAGGATGCCTAAAAAACAAAAAAGCATTATCATCACTTTTGTTATTGCTGTTGTAATAAAAGCACAATTTCAGGAATCCCACAGAATAAAAAATAGTTTCACCTACATTCTTAAGTGAAAAGTTGAGCTAGCAGGTGCAGGTTCCATTCAATATTTGTTCCACTGACTCTATGTTAGAGCTAGTCATAAGTAGATCTGACCTTTTGGTAGGAGAATGCAGTATATTTTGTTCAGCTGGCAAGGACTGTGGATTTTTTGTAGCATTTCAACTCTCATTATTTTGTCTTGCTTTTGGCTTGTTTGATTTCCTCTACCAGTACTTTAGGCCTGGTGTTGGCAGTGTTCAGGTGATATCACTGATAATGCACAAATGGGACATAGTGTGGGAGTGAACCCCCCTCTTTTCCCCTCACTTCTGCTTAGACTTGCAATGTTATTTGTGAATTTTATGAATAACATTTCCCCCCCTTCTATTTTGGTGCTGTGGTGCTGAACTGGTATAATATTAATTCAAATGCTTGCCATGTCTTGTCAGTTTAGCACTGTTTCACTTGCTTAACATTAAAAAACAAAAATGAGAGATTTGAATGCCAACAAAAAGAGGAATCAGAGGGTGGCGATAATAGCAGAGAAGGATGAGGGAGAAGGAAACTGTGTGATGTGTCGCCACATCATTAAGCTCATCAGGGCAATCCTTTTAGTGTTGTAAGCCGCTTTGAGTCCTTGTAAGGAGCAAAATGGGAAAAATATTTTAAATAAATAAATAATAGAAACACACTTTCATTAAACATTGAGATGCGAACAGCAACAGCAATTTAAATGCCAAGGTGCAGTACAGAGAATTTGGCATGTACCCAGGTCATGCTCTTTGAAAAGATGCACGATGTTCGGTGCAGTGCCAGTGACATGGTAACTGATGTCCATAATAATTGATGTCCAACTGGCTGCAAATGTGAAAGGCTGAGGCAGATAGGATGAGACGGACAAGACTTGTTCATTAGGAAAGAAAGCCCATCCTGATGTGCACAATTGGGTGCATAGGTGTGTAAACATCTCTCAGCCTTTAATGAGTACAGGCTGATGAACTCTTTGAGAGAAATCTTTTGTTCAAGTGCGGGAGTCCTGAGGAGGGAACTGAGAGAGGATTGGCTTTAAAAATGCCTTTGTAGCACATATTTCTTTCTTCCCGGTGCCAAGGAGTAATGTACCAGAGTCAACTTTCCTGTGGGTGTTCAGAAGTGGGCGGGATAGGCCCTTGTTTATGTTCTGAGTGACTGCTGAGTGAAGGGCAGGCATGCTGCTTCTGCAGCTTGCCATGAAGTGCCTCTATCCCTGGTGGCTGAGCATGCCTTTGTTTCTCTGCTTAGAATTATACAGTCAGTGGGAGAAAGTGAAATTGAAATTGAGGAGAGGGAAGACTGGTTCATGAGAGGGAAAAGAGAGTTGCAGTTTTTGGGAAAGACACTGTTGGCGAAGGTAAGAGAGAGAGAACTTGATTCAGGCACTTAGTATGGGTTTTGGTTTAGGAAACTGGAGGACACAGCTAGAGTAAATCTATCCAAAATGTTGTTCTACAGCTGCATGTAAGAAGAAGAAAGTTGTGTGTATATCTCTTTGTTCCATAGGGTGATACTTCTTGGTAATATTGTTTATAAGGAGCATGAATAGTGGAGCAGAGGAGAACTGTGTAAGCAAGAAACTGTTGCTGTAACTCTCCTCCTCCTCCTCCTGTTTCAAGTAAACAGTCTGTTGCGCCCTCCCCTCCTTCCCTTCCTCCACCCCCACCTCCTTATTCAACATAGCTCATGTGTTTTCTATTTAAGGGCTGCAGTGTGAGGCAAATATGATTGGCGTCCACAGCCCTCCTCTTGACTCTCAGCTCGAGCCTGTAAGAGCAAAGCAGGAGCTCAGCCTATGAGGAGAAGAAATTGGCGACTTGAAATAGCCTGGGAATTCCTTTTCTTCCCCTTTTTTTCATGTTGGTTGTGACTGGGGTGAATTTTCTCTCTCTCTCTCTCTGAATGGGAACAAGAATGGTGTGGAAGCATGTTGAGAAGAGTTTTTGTTTTCGGACTCTATCCTGCAGTGTAGGGTCTAACAGTATATTGGTCTTTTAAACTTTGAGATGCTCTTAAAATTTATTTTTCTTTTTGTCTTCCTTCCTCGTCGACTTTCCAATGTTCTTCTGTGCTCTTGAGCTGTGGGCCGGAGGAAGCAACTTCTATATGGCCAGCCAGTTGGAGATATGCCGCGAACCAAGGTTGTGTTCTGATTGGCTTGGCACTGGTGACAAATCGGCCTATCATGAGTCGTGTGGACAGAGGTCGCTCTCGTGGAGCCATGGCTGGAAGCTGGCTCACAGCATGCTTTTTCCCTTCCCCAGGTGCTGACGCTAGCTCTGAACCTATGATCCTGGAGCAGTATGTGGTGGTATCTAAGTATGAGAAACAGGAGAACTCAGAAATCAGCCTACAAGCTGGCGAGGTGGTCGACGTTATAGAGAAGAATGAAAGTGGTAAGATACTTGGAAAGAAATCGTCCATTTCTTTTAAAAATGCCTTTCTCTTCTCTCTTTTCCCTTCTTCCCTCACATCTTTGCATGTCTATGTATTACATCTGGTATACTGTCTGACTCATGAGGTGGGATTTCTCCCCCTCCACCCAACCCCCTGCCTTTACTTGGTTTAGGCTTGGGGCCAAAATATTGCCTTCTACTATAAGAATGTCTCCTAAAGCTTGTACATTAATTACCCAAAATACATTAAGGGAAAGCCTTGGGGTTGCGGAGGAGGTGAGTGTCCATAGCATATGCTCTGTATTTATTAGCATGATACTGTTGCTGTGCTGGAAAAGATCTCAGTATTTCCATTACTTGCCACTATTTTTTGAAGGATTTATTATATGGGATATAAAAAAAGATCACTCTAGGGATGAAAACTTGGCACGCTGGTTTTACCTTTCGCCCAGTCGCAAAAGACAAGGGTAATGTCAGATTCCTCAGTGGTGAAAGGTTTAAAGTGCTTCTAAAAGTGAATTGTGTATGTTGTACTGGGGAGGCGCCTTGCTTTCAGCTATTGCAGTCAATTGATTAGAAGCCCAGCAGAGTAATTCATTCTGAGTCTTATAACTGGCCAACTACAACCAGTGTTTATTAAACAGGTTGCTCAGTTGAAACGAGATGCAGTTTGATCACTTATACCCAAATTGATGCCCTCCAGATAGACTGGATCATGGGCATGCTGATTAAGGATGATGGCAGTTGTAGTCTCTAAATGTTGGGGGGGGAGTTATCTAGAATGTTAAGACAAAGCTTTGTGAGCTGAAAACCTTTTTTAACAAGAAGCAGCACAGATTTAAAACCCACACTTCCAGTCTGTAATGAATGAAATGTATTGAATTTCAGACAAAAAGATAGGAAATATGGTGTGTTTCGCTTCTTTTAAATGTGGTATTTCTGAAGCCACTAACTGGTATTGTTTCAAAGGGAGAAAACATCACATATCTTCGGGTAATCCCCAGATTTTGCTCGTAAAGGGAAATGCTAGTTTTGCTTTCATTGTAGGTTTGAGACTGCGATCTTGTACCTAATTACCTGGCAATAAGCATGATGGAACTCAGTTCTACATTCTGCTTAGTTGATCTATACAGGGTATTGTTGTAAACCCTCATATAAAAACAAAGCAAAACACAAATATGTGGACTTTCTGCTATATATCTACACCTCCAGTGTTACATTTGTTAACTTTCTGTCTTGTTTATCCCAAGAGAGTACAGTATTCAAAAAGATGAGGTGTCTATAGAAGGTGACTATAACCTGTATATTTCCATTGATCCAAATGTTCTTTCTTTCTTTTTATTCATTTGAGCATGTTTCCTTTCGAGCTTCACGAACCCCTTACATCTAGGTTTTTGAGTAGAAAGTATGGTACTGCAGTTTGATATGAATTTAGGAATGCTAAACAGTAATTGCTGTCTTCTGGTTTACTATAGGGATACCAACATAGATGTCCACTGAATGAATAAGTCTATGAGGGATGAAAAAGAATGGGAGTATGATATCAAGGGCTTCCCCTGGTCATCACCGTGACAGGAAGTGGGCTGCTCACCAAAGAGATTCTAGGACAAGCACCCTGGCCAATAGTTTAAGTGCTGTAGAGTTTAGAACAAGTCCCTTCTGTCATCTCTTGTATTCAAAAATAGAGCAAGGACTATGTTAGTTATTAGTAAAACAAAAGTGTCAGCCACACAACAGTGACAGAAGTCCTTCACCAAAGGGTTTAGAATTCAATCAGGTGAGACTAGGATAGCTGAAGAAATGTATGAGCAGGAAAGCAGAAGTAAAAAAAAATGAGCAGGTTGATGAACAGAGAAGGCAGCGAGGCAAGCTGTTCCACAAATGGGGAACAGCACAGCAAAAGGCGTAACAGTGATAGTGAGGGGAGACAAAGGGGGCTAGTTACAAATGCATCTTTGTGAAATGAAGGAAAGACAAGGAGAGAGATGCAGCAGGTATAGACTACTTTAAGAATAAACACTTGAATCAGGTGTCTCAAAGGACAGGGAGTGAAAAAAAAGAGAAAAACTGAAGGGGAAGGACAGTACGGTAGTCTTAAGTAAGGGGTGGATCATGATAATAGCAAGAGATGAAGCGGAAATAGTTCTAATGAAACAAGGGATGACTCCTGACATCTGGCAGCCAACTGGGCATTTCCAGAGGGCTTCTTAATCCTTTTATGGAGGGTCTGGATTATTTGTTCCTTTCCTTTGTTCACTGTGTTCTTATACTTATAAGAGGCACTGAAAAGTTCCAGAATGTTAAGGTAGCGGAAGTAATGTTTGATGTTTGTCTTAAGTTAAAGGTGGGTATACTGTTCCCCTGCAGCCACAAGTAGTCTCCCAGTGCTGATACTGTGGAACTTAGTTTCATCAGACTCCACTTGCCCCTCCACATCCAAAAGTGGTTTTCCCAGCTAAAATGTGAAGTGTGGTTCATGAAAGTCTTCAGGGACAGCAACTCACCTTTTTGAGAAGTCACAGGTCCTCTGCATTGTTTAATACTCCAAAATGTCAGTTTTTCAAAACCAGGAGTGCCCATCTGGGCACTTTGGATTTAATCTTTTTTTCCTGTATTTTTGGTAGTCGTTATGCCTTCAGAGGCTCATGGGGAAAGAAATTTGGTCCCCTGAAAGTGCCTGTCTGTGAGGTAAGCAAAGAACTACACTTTGGGCCAGCAATTCTGTAGAAGTTTTTCCCAACCTGGAGTTCTCCAAGTGTTTGGATTACCCATTGCATTTATATGACCACTTGCCTTGCTGACTCAAGCTGATGAGACCTGTAATTTAAAATACTTGGAAAACACCAAGGACTGCTGTTAAGTGTAAAGGCTCTCTTTGAAATAGTGGTTCTGTTAAAAATGACCACTGCTTGCCAATCTATCTCCCCTGAAGAATTCACATGTCATGGCCCTTCATTTCACTACCTGAAGTCTTCATTGCATTCCAGGGATGTAACAAGTACTCTGCCATTTTTGAACCCAGCAATTTTTAAGGATATGGAGGGCATAGACTACTTTAAAAGCAAACATTTGAAGCTGGTGACTGGGGAGATGGGAAGAAATTGAAGAGGAAGGATAATGTAATGTGAGGTTTTGTTATGATAATACTGTACACTGATTGGTTTCAAATGGTAGTGTTAGCCTTTAATGAGATGATTCACAAGGATTTGAAACTGACTTTTGTGAAAACATGAAACTGATAAGAACAACAAAAAGGTTATCCTACTAAGGGGGATAATTCTTCAAGCACTAGCAGCTCAGGACTGTCAAAAACAACAATAATTTTGAATCTCAGAAGGAACGGCAGACAAGGAATGTAGTGATATATTCATAATGGTCTGTGATGTGATGTAATAAAATAAGAAACTGTATCCCAAAGTTCTGGAAGACTGAGATTTAGCAGAAGTTGCTTTTGTGAAATGAGGTGCATCACTCTGATGGCAGAAAGTCAGGAGGACTTAAAGAATCTCGTAATGAGGGTGAAAGAGGAGAGTGCAAAAAACCGTCTGAAGCTCGACATAAAAAAAACTAAGATCATGGCCACTGGTCCCATCACCTCCTGGCAAATAGAAGGGGAAGACATGGAGGTAGTGACAGATTTTACTTTCTTGGGCTGTATGATCACTGCAGATGGTGACAACAGCCACAAAATTAAAAGACACTTCTTGGGAGGAAAGTGATGACAAACCTCGACAAAGGTCTGCATAATCAAAGCTAGGGTTTTTCCTGTAGTGATGTATGGAAGTGAGAGCTGGAGCATAAAGAAAGCTGATCACTGAAGAATTGATGCTGTTGAACTGTGGTGTTGGAGGAGGGTCTTGAGAGTCCCCTGGACTGCAAGGAGAACAAACCTATCCATTCTAAAGGAAATCAACCCCAAGTGCTCATTGGAAGGACACATCCTGAAGCTGAGGATCTAATACTTTGGCCATCTCATGGGAAGAGAAGACTCCCTGGAAAAGACCCTGATGTTAGGAAAGTGTGAAGGCAATAGGAGAAGGGGACAACAGAGGATGAGATGGTTGGACAGTGTCATCAAAGCTACCAACATGAATTTGAACCAACTCCAGGAGGCAGTGGAAGACAAGAGGGCCCGGCGTGCTCTGGTCCATGGGGTCCCGGAGAGTCGGACACGACTAAATGACTAAACAACAACACGTAGAATTTATCCAGGTGTTGATAAGAAATCCTGTCAAGAATGCCATCGGTTCCTGTATATTAGCAAAGGAATTATGCATAAGAGGCAAGGAGGCAGTCCTGTAAACAGCAAAATCAGGGAGCTGGACAGGGACAGATTGTATTTGTCTTCAGTGTGGAAGGAATTGTCACTCTCGAATTGGCCTCAGCCACACTAGAAGCTGTTCCAAGTCCTCCATACAGAGCATGTTACCATAGTCTCTCGAGACTGAAGGATGCCTAATCCTATGCATAAAAGTATACAAGAAGAAATTAAGAATACTTTACTCACTAGGAAATCCCAGGGGAGAGAGGAAGAGAGGCAGAAAACACTATACTAGCAAGCTGTCAGACCAAGAGGCATGTAGTTTCACAACTCTATTACATTATGCATCTCTCTAGTAAGTAGCCCTTCACTACTGCTGTCAAAGCAGGTTTGGGTGAATTTATTGTGTCTTGCCCTGTTGGCCTAAAACATCATTGTTTCAGGTATCCTTTTTACCTGCCTTTAAATGAAACTGTACTTAAAAGTCTTCCCACCCACTGTGCAAAGTAAAGGGAAGAAATACACGTCGTTCTGATGCCTTTTCATCCAAATTATTCAGCAGACACTTAACATTTTGTAGATTTGTAAATGTCCAGAGTATCTGTTTATTGTTTTTCAGATACTTATATTGCACCTACGTACATATGTTCTTCTGTGGCCACATAAGTCTAGTGTAACATATGTTGCCATTTTTGCAACGTTGCATGCTGCTTCTAGTGGGTGTGATTGGGACTAACTT